TTTAGGAGAAAAACCCTGCAAAGCGTCCTGCCCAGGGCTGTACAAACAGCTGGAAGACTAGGAGTGGGATGACCCCGTCCCCACCTCTGGAGTTTAGTTCTGACTCTTCCCCGAGGGGCCACCCGCTGTCTGGAACATCCAGGTGTGTGTTGTCGTGGAAACCTTTCAGATGGCGTATCAAGAGCTTGACTGATTTTTTTTCGTCCTCAAAATAACCCATGCTGTCAGTCAAGTAACACTCAGGCACAGTGGTTAGGCAAGTGAGATTGTTTAGCCTTCATTAACTGCTGAGCTAGGTGCCTGCTTGGGGAGCTTCCACCCCCACGACAGGCAGTTAATAGCAATGCAACAGTGAATAATTAATAATAGTGATGATGACGGTGATGGCTGCCGGACACAGCCCGCCCCCTCCTCCCATGCCCACCAGCTTCTGTGCCAGATGCTTCACATGCACACCAAGTACCACCTTGAGTGTGAGCACAGTACTGTGCCCATTTTACAGACACTGATGCTGAGGCTCGCAGGGGTGAGTGTTGGGGCTGGTCTGAGTCCTTTTCAGATGCCAAGTGCCATGCTCTAACCACCGAACTTCACTGCCTCTCAGGAGCCTCCAGTGGAAGGGGGTGTGGGGACAAGGCTCAGTTCCTTTTATCTGTGGCCCCAGCATCCAAACGGTTAGCCCCAGGCTCTCTTCTTGGTGAGCTCTCAAGCTGGAAACACTACCACCTGCCCCTGGAGCCCGTCTCTGAGCATGGCCCTTCCTGATCCAGACATCCCTGCCCCAAAGAAGGGCTCCTGCCTGGCTCCAGTATCTGTTGCTTCGTAAAGCCTGAGGCAGAATCAAGATCTCAGCCGTGGCACGCCTAACCCTTCAGTCTATAGTGGTACAGCACAGCCTCCAATCCACACCATTCCTGCTTGCCTTCAGACAAACAATCCCTACTCTGGGCTGGAGACAATAGAAAGAATGCTGGCTACAGAGTCAGACCGACCTGGGCGGAGACCCCACCCTCGTTACTTCCTGGTCCTGTGGCCTCAGCCTACGTATGCTTTTTAAGCCTCAGCTTACTGGGCAGCTCTCAGAGCCAACGTGCCACTGTATAACATATAGCAGGTTAGTTAGGGTCCCCTGAGAGTCACTGGGGACCCACGCTTTGGGGTACCTGCCAGTGGCTAAGGGGACCGTCGATTGCCCTGGGTTCCTTGGGGCATTTCCTGCGGTCAATTCATGAGGCTGGAGCGCCACCTCGTGGCAAGGGTCCTCCATCGAGCCAGGCCCCGAGGTGAAGCGCCCAATGAGGCCGATCCCCTCAAGCCTTGCAACCTGGGGGAGGAGAAAAATGACCTCCAGACTGCTTGGGCGACGTGAAGCCAAGAACAAGCTCTACACCTGTCTTTACTATTGGCTAGCCCCCAATAAGGAGGCTTGAAAGCTCTGGGCTTCTCTTCATTCATTCACTCATCCGTTCCTTCTGCCTTCTCTGTCCCTCATGGACGCTCACCTAGCCCTCAGATGCCTTTGCTTTTCTTCATAGCCCTCAACAACCCTGGCGAGGTTATAAGGCTTAAACCACTAAATGTAATTCTTTTAAAAGTGATAGCACGCATCGGTGTTATGTAATTCACAAATGAGGGACAATGCAGGATGACAAAGCTGGTTCAAAAGAGAACACGAGAAACAGGGATGTTTACAGTATGTAGGAAAAACAACAAGATGAAATCGCCATATTAGACACAAATTTGGTTAAGGTCCCACGGGGCCAAACTGCTGTTCCTCTTGGGGCAATTTTCCTACTGGACAGAAAAGAAAGTCATCATGTGGTTTCCAGTTTTTACAGAACTGCAAAATGCTTGCGCCCTGAGCAGTCGGGTACACAAACGCGCTCTTGCAAATGCTGCAGCGTGCAGTCACTTTTGGCCTTACTTCTGGTTTTGGGATCATTGTACTTTACACAACCTGATGCATGCTATGTATTTATGTTTTTTGCCTGTTGCCTCATCTAGTATTGGACTCCATGAGGGCATGGATGTGAGATGTCTTGCTCCCTGCTTTCTCCCAGGCACCCAGTCAACATCTAGCATATGGAGAGTGGTGGACAAATATTTGCAGAATGACGGGGTGTGTCAGACTTGGGTTTGCATGACGCCAGTCCTGTCCCCATGAAGCTCACCATCTGTGAGGGAGGCATGCGGGGAAACAAAACCATTACACCAAGTTTTAAAAGGGTCATATCACAGACGGCTCAGGGGCTGTGGACACCTGGGGAAGGCTTTCTGGAAGAAGAAAATGAGAGAGGCTGGGTGAGAGGGGTCTCAGAGGGTGGGGGGGGTTGCTAAGAGTGTGGTGCATTCTGGGAGGAAGGAATTCAGTGTGACGGACAGGATGGGGCTGGAAAGGTAGGCAGAGGCCAGACCTTGAGGGCCTAGTGAGCTCTGCAAAGGGGTTTGGGTTTTAAGCAAAGACCTCTCATGGCAGCTGTCTGCAGTAGAGCCTTGACATTCATGACTGATACCCCACCTGAGAAGCAAGTCTCCGAATTCACTCGGATGTAGATGTTCACAGCAGGAAGATTTTCCATTATATTTACATGCTGAAGAATAAGTGTTGGATCAGAAGCTGGTCTGCCCAGCCCGAGTTTGTGCTCTTAACCAGGAATGACTGACGTGTCCCAGCCCCGCTGCTCATGGTGATTGCTGGACCAGCAGCGCCAGCACCCCCTGGCGGCTGGTTACGTTCCAGCATGAAGCCCCACCAGGAGGACCTGAGTCAGAATCTGCATTTTGGCAAGACCCCAGGTGACTTGGGTGCACAGTAATTCGAGAAATGATGGGGGCCACAGTATCACTGTTGGTTTACTAAATCTTTCCTGGAAAGTCTTGGACAACCAAGTCCCCTCCTTGAGCCGTATATTCTCTGAAAACGTTATAATGTGTAAAAAAAAAAAAAAAAAAGTGCAATGGTCTATCTAAGTTAATTCCCTAGCAGAACATCTCGATGGGTTGATGATTCAGAAATATTGCTGCCAAACAAGAACTTCTGGAGGCTCAAGCAAAGCCATAAAACACAGTGAGAAGGGGGCATTTCACCTCTGAGAAGTGAAAATTTGACAATGCTTTGAATTACAGTGGATCTGGATTAATTCCAGGTCCTACTTAGAGGAAGCTTTCAGGCCGAGTGCTTTAGACATGAAAGCACTCACCCTAATGCGCCAGGTGAAAGGCACGACGACTCTACTGCTTGGTGCCAATTACATTTATGGGCTTGTCCCCAGGAGTGCCAGGAAAATGTCAGTTAGTGCTGACACATCACCAGCTGGGGGCTCTGTCTCATGGGGCTCTGTTTCCAGGACTTGTTATTAATATACCCCGTTGTGATCTGCAACTCTGTTCAATGATGGCAAGTCTATAAGGGATGGTTTTGTGTAGGAACCTTGGAAAACGGGAAGAGCTCAAAGGCTACGCTTCTCAAACCCCTTGCTGTGCACAAATCACCAGGGTCTTGCCCACGAGCAGATTCTGAGTCAGGTCTGGGCCGAGGCTGCTGCTGCTGGAGGGCCAGGAAACTTGCTGTGGGAAAGGGATCGGGGGGAGCACGGGCTCCGAGCCCGTCTGTGATGTCAGGCGGGTGGCCCAACTACTCTGAAGTTCACATTCCTCGTTTGTAAAATAAGGGTTGCTTCTGCTCCCTAGGGTCTTTGGAAGATTTAGAGATGATGTGTGTGGATCTTCTTCCCACTCCCAGAGGGGAGGGTGAGACTCCTTCTCTTGGGTCACTTTCTCTGCACGTTCAGCGGACACCCATTTTTCTTCCCTAAAGAAGCTACTGTTCTTCCTGATCCGGATTTCTCGACCTTGGCACTCCTGTACGTTACAGGATGTTTTAAACAGCACCCCTGGCCGGTAGCACCCTCTCCCTGAGTTGTGGCAAGCCAAAGCTTTCCAAACATGGCCAACCGCCCCCGGAGGCAGCAGTGCCTGACTGGGCAGCAGCCTCCCAGGCAACAGTTCCTATTCAGGGTCCGTTCAACAGTACGTGTTGACTACGTACTCTGGGCCAATGGCCTTCACAACTGTTAAGTGGGTGTAACCAGGCTGAAGTCCTAGGCGTTGGGAAGATGAAGTGAGTTAATCTGGTATCCAGATGGAGCCAGAGAGGCAGAGATGCCAGGAGGGTTATCTGGACTGTGGGGGGCAGGCAGGGAGGGGAACACGCTGCCCGGTGCCGAGCATGCAGGAACAACAGGACTGGGGGGGGCGGTTTGCGGGGAGGCCAAGGCAGCAGGAGGGCGGGACCTGAGCTGGGAAGGAAGAGGAGGGAGAAAGCAACAGGGAGGGATTGAGATGGGAGGGGCGCAGACAGAGACATGTGCATGTGATGCAACCAGAAAAGGGAGCCCAAGGGGAGGCGGGGAAGAAGCCCGGGCTCTGGGAGGAAATGCCACGAGGCAGATCATGGCATGCACGGGTCAGCCACACGCGACCAGGAAGAGCGCTCGTGTCTGTTCTCAGCTCATCTGATTTTGGTTATAAAGAGTTAAAACAGAAAATGAAGGCCTCTTTGCCGGCTCCTGCCACCTCCTCTGAATGGGCCCTGGCCAGAGGGACAGGGAAGGCAATGAGGCTTCTGTGCCTCATTCTGTGTAGTGTTATTACCGCAATTGTGGCGACCATCTTAAACACATCTGTAAGCACATAACACAGGGAAACACTAAATGCTACCGGCTGGGCCCTGGGTCCCCCGCCCGCCAGGGAAACTGAAGTAATTGACTCAAGTGGAATCAAGCTGAGAACACCTACCCAACCTGGCCACAGCTCTTGAGACATCCTGGCACACATACGACAAGCCGGCAGCACGGACAACAGGCAACTAGATGGACTTCTAGCCCAGAGCAAGGACATTCTCTGGCTGCTGCTGGGAGGCAGCAACGGACTCCAGAAACACCCCTGGGGCATATAAAGTACGTCTGCCACATTTTAAAAATGATACAATCTCAAACACATTATTTTATGAGCTTTCCATTTTATTAGAAACGCATTCTAAGAACAGTTGAGAAGCCGTGCTTGTGGATGCGATGGATCACATTACTGGTTCCACAAAGATCTTCCAGAGCTCCTGCAGGAAACAGAGAAAGCAGATTCCTGAGGTTCGCAAAGGAGACTTCACAACGTCAGAGAGGGAGTAATTAGCAAAGGAGAAGCGTCACCACGAGGCAGCACGCACGCTGCCGCAGGAGTGGGGAGCTGCTTCTGATTCTTCGTTGTTCTGGGCTGTTCTTTCTGCCCCACTATGGAAGAAAAGCTGGATGGCTAATCCTGGCATTCATCCAAGACGCATCAGGATGCCACACAATCAAAATGGACCAGAAGAATGGCAGCAAGTCACAATTTTTCCATTTGGGGAGACCGTAAGTGCCGCATCCCATGACTGCTGAATTTCGTGAGGAGCTGATTTTCCTGGTCATGTGCTGCTCCTTCTGACACGGCAGGTGGAGAAGGTACAGATACACCAAGTTCTTAGTGGGGACTGAGTCCTCACTGGCAGTAGACCGTTTGCCGTCTACAGGGAGATGGGCGGGCAGGAAGGCGGCCCAGAGGCGGCGTAGCCGTGAACAGAGGCTGCTCCTCACACATGGCAACCACACAAATCCAGTGCTGTGCTTGCTTGGGGAGCGTGCGAGGGAGAGCCCTCTGTTACCCCTCATCCTCCCCTCTCCTCCTCAGAACTAGGACTGGTCCCCTCAGAACTAGGACTGGTCCCCACAGACCCACCACAGAAGGGGCGGTCACAGCCAAGAGGCAAAAAGAACAGAAGTCATTCATTCCAGACATTTGGACTTGCAGCTCCTGGTACTTATAAGGGATTTTCAAGGGTAATTTTGTTTCTCAGATTTCCCCCTATGAGCTGGGTTTAAAAACCGCAATAGGAAGTGATGTGGCTGCAGGATTAAGGCCCAGCTCTGTCGCTGCCTGGTGGGGTGACTTACCTTGTCCCGGTATCCACCAAGGCAGGGGAGAAAGGAGCTCGGCCTGGTACCTGGCCCGCGTGCCGTTACTAGTATGATTACTCAGAGGCCTAGTTTGATGGACCCACTGTGCCTGGCCAGAGGGCCATTGGTCATCAGCTAAGCCTGCCTAGTCTGAGAGGCCAGTGTATTTCCACGGTGAAGGTGTGGCCTCCAGGACTGGGGTTCCTACATCAAGAACGCCACCAAGTGCCCCCTCACTGCCTTCCTGTGTCACCAACCACCGCCTGTGCTCGGCCCTACTTCCTCTGGAGTCTGAACTGCCCGCAGGGAGAGAACAGGCTCTTAAGTCCAAGGCGATGGTTGGCCTGCAGGCCCGCCTGCAGACACAGTGACCCCTAAGAAGGGGAGAGCCCACCACAGCCTTCGGCTGCTTGCACTCCTCCGCCCCGACGGCACAGGGTACGGGCCCGTGTCTGGAAGGCCCTGGGGTCAGCAGTGTCACGCGCAGCAACGATGGCCCGCACACGGTGGGGCCGCACCTACCAGCTGCTGGATGCGCTCATAGACAAGGAGCTGTGGGAAGGAGGCCTCCACCGGCTCCACCACGAAGCGCAGCCGGCCGTCCGCAAGCCTCTCCAGCCGCTGCAGCCAGGAGCGGAAGTGGTCGTAGGCTTCACATGTGACGTCCAGGTGTCTGAGCGTGAAGTTCAGCCTGCAAACAAGCAGCCGACACAGATGCCTCACCTTCCAGCTGCTTCCTGGCCTCACTCCCCACCAGCGGATTTTCACTGAGCGCCTACCATGTACCGAGCACTGGGTGCACTTCCTTCCTGAATCTGCAGGAGAGCCCGGGAGGTGGACATATAGTCACTGCTTCCATTTTATAGACGTGGCAACTGAGGCTCAGGGAGGCGAAGTCAGGTGGCTAAGATACCACCACCCAAAAGACAGGCCCTGCCCTGAGCTACAAAGTGGAACAAGAGGTGGATGCTGACCACCACCCACTGGCCTCCCCTGCCTCCCCCAGCAAAGAATCTGCACACGACGTGCCCACAACCATATCTGCAGTGAGTGTATGAAGGGCAGGGCCTGAGCGCAGTGGGTGGGGAGCCATCAGAGGGACGACTTCAGAACACGTCCTCCCAAGTCCTCCCAGCCCCGCCACTCAGCCACCTCTACACCCTAACCTGCAACACAATTTATGCTGAAACAAATTCTTTGCCTTTTCCCCTTTTATTTCCCAGATCTTTTATTACGAGAAATTTCTGACAGCGTGATCAACTATCCCAGCTTCAACCACCGCCAGCTCACGGCCGCTGTGGCCTCTGCCTCCCGCACACCCAGACTGGATTATTAAAAAGCTAACGCCAGCCATCACAGTGTCTCCTCTGTAAAAACAGCCACATGCATCTCGAAAAGATAAAGGATCATTTGCTTCTTTGTTTCACCTAAAACAAATATGATGATAATTCTTTAACATTCCAATATCCAGTCAGGACTCTCGAGGTTTCCCTCTGCCTATAAAATCAGCATCCAGGCGCGGTCCACATGCTGTCCTTGCTCACATGTGCCGTGAAGAAGCGCCTCAATATTATCCGTATGAACAACACAGCCGTGATCGCTTCCACAGGGCGAATTTCTAGATGCTGGACTGCTGGGTCAGTAAGTAGGGTCAGTTTCATCACTTTTTTTTTTTTAAGATTTTATTTTTAAGTAATCTCTACACCCAATGTGGGGCTGAACTCACAACCCCAATATCAGGAATCACAAGCTCTACTGAGGCAGCCAAGTGCCCCGGTTTTATGGCTTTTGCTACATATTCCAAATTGCTTTCAGAAAAGTTGTGCCCTAGCAGAGAAATCGGAAAAAATGGTGTAAAGTGTCCAGTACTGTGTCCAAAACGGACACCCCCTCAATGGGAGCCCTAATGCTTCAGGATGTTCAAGTGCAAGCATCCTGGAGGGGCTCTGTCTGCATCGGGACATGGGGCCCTGAGGAGACAGAAGGCATCCTGGAGGGGACATTCAGAAAGAGTGGCCATGTGTCCCGGCTCTGGAGCATGGCTGCGTTCAAGTGCTCATCTGCTCACAGACCAGCCATGACAGGTTCCCTGCTGCCCCTCAGCCTCTCTCTCCCCACCGGTGAGGCAAGGTGGGCTGGCCTGCGGATGACAGGAGGCCCCGTGTGTAAGGGGCGGCATGCGCTGGCACACGGCAGGTGCTCAGTGAGCGAGGGACAGGACGACGCTGATGAAAGTGCGCTCGGAAGGGGGCGCCTGGCTCTCGGGGGTGCAGAGCTCACCTCTTCTCCACAGACAGAATGGCCGTGCAGGCGTTTTTCAGTTTGTGAACGAGGCGGGACAGCGTTTTAAACAGAGCGTCGGTTAGGTCATCATCGTAAAACACTGCAGGGAAGGAAACAGGCTAGGGGAAAATGCAACCATTAGGGAGATCTGTCCCTCGGAGGAGCCCCGGACTCGGTGCCGGGTCCCCGTGAATGTGCAACGGCAGCAGCTTGCACGCTGAAAACCGCAGGCGGGTGCGGCGGGGCACCCGGGAGGCCGGGCAGGGCTCCACAGGGGGGCCCGGGCGCCGCTGTGACCCAGACGTCTTACCTTCGGCTGCGAGCAGGATGGTGGTGTGGCTGTAGAGGTCGGAGACGTCCTCCTGCGACCAGCTGAAGGGGACCTCCGGGTCTGTGAAAGAAGAAAGGCCATGTTGCGCATGTTCCTCTCTCTGTGGGCCGGCTCTGAGGCTGAGTGAAGCTTCAGGAGAGGAAACAGAGCTGGGGCTAGCTCGGAACGGTGGGCACCGCCAGGCAGCTCTGAATCCTAGCGCCCCAGCTTCAAGGCCACGGCTGCCAACGCGGCTGCCTCCGCCACTGAGGGGCAGGCACTGCTGCCCCATGAACTTGCTGGGTGACGCTGAGAAAGGTGCTCCACCTCTCTGGGTTTCAATTCTGCACCAGAATGGGCATAGTAAGGCTGCCCTCAAGGACTGCTGGGGAGGGCAGGAGACCTAAGGTCCTAAGTGCTCGGTAGATGACCAAGTGTTTATATAAAGAGTGAGCAAGCATGCAGGTCTGAAAGAGCCTATATAATAAACTTAGAAAACTCTCCCATGCAGTTGGCTCTGAAGCCACATGGCCGACACCCTGCCACGGACAGAGGACAGAGCCATGTTGGGAGGCTGCCTCCCAGTCCTGGGCAGGTGCTTAACCCGGAGCGTCTGTCCTCACCTGTAACCTGGGGACTAATGTGCTTACTATGCAGGGACACTACGAGTCTGAGTGACAGAGCAGGTAGAAGCGGCCAGCAACTGTCACTCATCAGCCGATGGAGCGGAGTGGCCGTGAGCTGAGGGACTGTGGCGACAGCCGGGACCCTCTGCTCAGCCCAGGACACAGGGCTGATGTCCTGGAGGTAGGACAAGGGGCCGTGCGTCTGCTGGGACGCGGGACAAGAAGATGCGCACCTGTGCACAGGTCGTCTTTGAGCCAGTCCAGTTCTTTGACCTTAACTACACCACCTGCAAAAGCAAAACCAAGCAGAATGTCCAAACTCAAAACAGAGAGAAGGCTAACCCTTCCCATTCTATGCCCAAATCCCTCCGTCCCCCCACCAACATCCTCTCCATGTCCCTCCTTCCCTACAGCATTTTCTGAGCGCTAGGTCTCGGGTCTCGCACCGGACACAGGGAATGCAAAGGTTTAGGAGGTGTGTCCCTGTCCTCAGGCACCAGCAGCCCAGGAGAGGTTGGCTGGCCAGCGCGCACCGGCCAGGCCATGTGGTCAGGGCACTGCTGAGAGGATGTGCCAGGGGCCCAGGAGAGACCACCTCTGGTGGCAGACGGCGGTGTCAGGGGAGGCTTCAAAGAGAACATGAGTCACACCTGTTCCTCCCTTCCAGCTCTTGACGACTGGGCATTCAACAAACAATGCGACGGGGCATCACACAGACAGGGCCCCGCCCCATGGAGCGCGTGGCCTAGTGGGGGGGGCGGGGAGCAGATACCTATCAACTGGTCACACAGACATCAAAATGCAACCGTTCGAGGTGAAATGAGGCTCTGGTAGGGAACTGTGACCTCGTTTGGAGGTCTGGGACCCTCACACAGGCTAGGGAGGCCGGCACGGAGCAGGTCCTATGAGGCAGGGGCTACTGATGGCAGGGCCCGACCCCCGCAGGACCTGGGACAGGCAGAGGAGCTCGGTGTCCACTCAGAGAGCAACAGGAGACCACTGAAGGGTCTGAAGCCCGCGGGCTGGAATGACCTGATCTGAGTGGGAAAGTGCCCCCCAGGCTGCTCAGGAAAGGTCTGGACAGGAAGGCCAGTGAGGAGTGGCTGCCCGCATCTATCACGTCAAGGCGGAAATCCAACAATCAGGCAGATGGGCGTGGGGGGATGGTCCGGGCAGAGGCAAGAGCATGTGAACTGAGTGTTCGGCTTGCTGGAGAGCAAGGCTATCAGGGCAAAAGGCAGGAAAAGCAGGCAGGGGTCAGACCAGGAGGTTTGGGAGCCAGAGAGCGAGCTTGGACTTCAACCCTGAAGATTTTCTGTGGGGAGTGAAGAGTCTGGCTTGCAGGACAGCCTGGGTGGGGCAGACAAGGAGCTGGGAGATCAGGTGGGGGCTGCTGTGACGTCCAGGAGGGAGAGAGCTGAAGCAGGACGCGGCAGTGGGTGTGGGAGGAGTGGATGATGCAAGGACAGAGTCATCGGATCCGAAGCTCCGTGAAGCCAGGATTGTGCTCACTCCGTTCACCTGGGTCTACAAGGCAGCGGGCAGACCCCAGCTCCCACAGTCACGGTACAGGGTGTTTGTCCCAGCGGCCAAACAGAGAACCCTCCCTCCCAGGGGGAAGAGCCACTGAGCCTCACCTCCAGCAGCAGTCAGGTGGCCGTTGAGGGCAATGTTTCGCTGGCACATGGCCAAGAGATCTGTACCGACATCTGGAACGACAGAAGGGCACGCCATAAAACGCCAGCCACCACTGCATTCTCATCTCCAGGCTCAAAAGCCTGACTGAAGAGAGGTGCAAAATGGAAAGTCAAGTTTCTCCTGTATGCTTACTGCCAACATTAAGTACGTTCACTTTAAGTTCCTCTTTAACGACCTTTCCCTTCAGTAAGAGATGATGGTGCTGGTGGGGATGGACTGTGCAGTCCAGAGGGAAGGGGTGAGAACTCCTGTTTTGAGTGTGTATGAAAGAACAGGCATGGGTGTTTGGAGGTGATTCATTGAGACACAGGGCAGGTTCCTACATGCTGGGGGCACGCTCTCGGAGCATGACTCGTCACGGCCATCCCTGTCTCCTGAGCTGCCCATGGCTCTGACAAGGTGGCGCTTCCCTCCATTTCAGCAGAACCGTTCGATCCTCGGTACCGTGCATCCTTGATGGGGCCTGGGGTGCGGGGGTGCAGGCATTTTACCAAAACTTGATTTTCACTTAGGAGAGTGTATGCGTGGAAGGTACGGAAAGCTGTGTGAGTGACATTTGCCCGGCCCACATGGCTGTGGACGTCCCGACCCTGTCCCATTACCCACTGAGGGCTCTCCATTCCAGGGAACGCGCAGAGCCTGGGACACACCTATTGGCTTTCCCGGGGCCACTGGGTAGAGAGAATATTGATGGTGTGTGCCTAATAGCACACAACCAGTTTAGCAGCTTGTAAGTCTTTATGGGAGTTTTTGTTCAAATAGATCTTCCGTGGGATTTTAACATATAAAACAGGTAAGAGAGGAGCAGCTTTGGCCAAGTGGCAGTGGAAGACCAGAGACCTGGGGCTGCCCCCCAATTAACCCTTTGCCAGCCCCAGAGGGACAGCACAGAACTCTGCTCCATGGAAACCAGTATGAACCATGGGCGCCTCCCCCACCCGTCATGTGATAGCGGCCGTGTGTATGACTTGGGGCCAGCATGTGATCTTACTCTTAGTCTGCCCATCTGGACAAAGGATGGTGACAGACTCCCTGACTACTGCCCAGGGTCACTATGAAGTCACAAACGGGGGCTGAAGCATGTGAAAGGCTTTGCCAACTAGAACGTGCCATGTAGATGTGAGCTCCCTTCTTTGTGCCAGGAAATCCCCCTCTCAAGGATAAGACTACTTGATTATATGCTGCTGTTAGGCAACAGGCACAGGGCAAAGCTCTTGGGTGGTGTATGATGGCTTGACTCTGGGAAGGGCTTGCTGACAATTTGCCTGCACCCTGGCACAGAGAAGAACCGGGGCTGCCCCGCACACTCCTGGCCAGTGGCCAATGCAGAGTATCTGGAAAGTGTGCCAGCATCACAGGGGATCCCTAACTTCCCTTTCCAGTCTCATAAGAAACACAGAGGCACCATGGGGATGGGAACTAGGAATCAACAAAGATGCAAACCAGAGCAGATGTCCCCTTTCTGCCCAGCAGACCCTGAAGATTTAAAGTGCAGTGACACTCCCCTGATGAGATCCTACCCTCTTATGAACTAGTACACGCTTTCGGAAAAAGCGTGTGGGCCAGAGTGGGGTGTAGTTGAGAGCACCACGCCCTTGGCAAATTGTGGGTGTCACCACTGAACTGCGGGTACGTGACATGCCATCACTGTGGTGGGGGGGTGAGGGGATCTATGGCACTTTCTGTAACATTTTAGCAGCTTCTATGTGAGTTTAACACTACTTCAAAATAAAAAACTGAGAGTGGGGCACCTGGGTGGCTCAGTTGGTTGGGCGTCTGCCTTCGGCTCAATTCATCATCCCGGGGTTCCCGGATGGAGCCCTGCATCGAGCCCTGCATCAGGCTCCCTGCTCAGCGGGGAGTCTGCTTCTCCCTCTCCCTCTGCTGCTCCCCCTGCTCGTGCTCTTTCTCTCTCTCTCAAATAAATAAAATCTTTTAAAAAAATAAAGAATAAATAAAAAAACGGAGAAAGAAATCACTTGGCAATATGTATCAAAAGCTTAAAAAGGGAAGGGGCGCCTGGGTGGCTCAGTCGGTTAAGCGCCTGCCTTTGGCTCAGGTCATGATCCCAGGGTCCTGGGATCGAGCCCCACATCGGGCTCCCTGCTCAGCGGGAAGCCTGCTTCTCCCTCTCCCACTCCCCCTGCTTGTGTTCCCTCTCTTGCTATCTCTCTCTGTCAAATAAATAAATAAAATCTTTAAAAAAAAAAAAAAAAGCTTAAAAAGGGTCACACCTGCTTCTAGGAACCTAGTCTGAGGATCAGCAGACAATGGTGAACAAAGGTGTACACCGCAGGGCAACTAACAAAGCTGCAAACAGAAAACAAAAACACCAAAACACATGGGAACAACCAAAATGTCCAGACACAGGAAAATGGTTAAAAAAAAAAAAAAAAGAAAAGATGAAACATTACCTAGTCGTTAAGTCATATTTATAATTTCTAATGACTTTGGAAAATACTCTTGAAAAAATGTTTTTTCACATTTTTGGCAACACATAGCAACGAATATATAGTCTGATTTCAGCTACTATTTTGGAGTATGTACATTCAAAGGAAAAGGGGAAAGATGATAAAAAAAAAAAAACCCCACATACGAACAGTTCAAGTAATGGTTCTAAAGCTCCCGGAGGACAGCAATTCTGTCTTACTCACTCTTGGATCTCCTGCATCTAGGACCGTGTCTGCATACAGTGGGCACTCAATAAACTGCACACTGTTGAACGAATCTGGGGATTGTAAAAGTCTGAGTCAATTTCACTTGCTGTCCTAGGAAGTTTCCACAAAAAGTAGGCAAGACTTCTATAACAGAGAAAAAATGTGAAGCCTGTTTTCAAGCCTTATAAAAGGCGGACCCCTCCTGGTTTCCTGAGATGTCCAGCTTTCGTGGGCAGGGCAGCAGGGCCTCCTGCACTGTAAGTGCTCCTGCACCGTAAGTGCTCCTGCACCTGTGGGCTGTGCTGGGCCATCCCGATGTGACTGAGAAAACAACACAGGGTGGAGAAAACCATGGAACGGGATGGCAAAATCCACAGCAGCAGAAGTTCAATTCCCAGCTGTTCCGCCCCACTTTCTGACATAGCAGGGCGCACCCTGTGGGGAAACTACTTCCCCTCAGCCCGAGATGGTGGGCCTACCTGTGCAGTAAACGGTACGCGCCACAGTGGCTGCCATAATGCTGGCCAGCCCTGTGCCCGCCCCGAGCTCCAGCACGGTGCGTCCCTGGAAGAGGTCCCGTTGGAACAGGATGTAGTCAGCCAGGAGCAGGGCACCCCGCCACACCTGGGGGAGAGAGGACAAGGAATGACAGCTGACGTGAGGCTCCAGGGAGACCCTTCGGGGCCACAGGAAGTGGGTGGGACCTACCCACCTGCTTGCCAACATCCTCCAGGGGGGTGGCCATGGTGTGTTCTGGACAGGATGGAAACCAAAAGAGAAAGGGCTACTGTGAAAATGGGGATGGACAGAACACAGACAAGACGAGGTGCGTGGCATTCTGCAATGGGTGCTGGAGTTGAGCATTCTCCAGAGCGGCAGAAACACGGGTGGTGCAACAGTTGGGAGGGACTGTGTGAGCGTCACTCACAGACCAGGCACAGAGGCTGGCTCCGATAACCGGGAATCTCCGCCCCTCAGGTCCTGGCCCAGCCTGGTCACACACACCGCACCCCACAATCCACTTTACTGTGCTCAGTAACTGCACACTCATCACAGTGTGTTTATGTCGTCTGGATCAGCTCTATGTTGACAACAGTCATGGTGCATTCCGCATGTTTCTCACGCTTAGAACCAGACCAAAAGTCAACAAAGTGAGTTTGAGTTTATACCCCTTTTCAGGTGAACTATGATAAGACATATTCTCAAGCACAAAATGTATTAGGATAAAATCTCATGGTGGTATGGGGGGCGGGGGAGAGAACAGAAAGAGGACAAAGAGAAAGAGGACCATGGCAAACATCTTTGCTGTTAAAGAACTGGCTCTCACATTCTTAAGCAGGATGGGGATGGCTATCAAATTAAAATACGCACAACACGCGCACAGTGTGGGGGGCTCCATGTGCTTGTCAGGCTTGCCCACATCGGACCACATGCTCACAATGGAACAGGAGAAGGGACCGAGGGACCAAGACAGGGCAGAGAACCGCAGGGTCAGAAGCAGCATGGGTGATGCTGCCCATGCCCCCTCCACGAGGGTCTGCCCTATGAGGTGAGGGGGGCTGCCTGCACGCCCCTGCTGTTTGGTTCCCAAACGGGGGGTTCGACCTCATGATCCTGAGACCAAGACCTGAGCTGATATCAAGAGTTGGAAGCTCAACAGACTGAGCCACCCAGGTGTCCCTCCCGTCCGGGTATTTTTTAACTGGCTTCTCAGATGGGTCCACAACCTGAAAACGACCTGATCTGTGGGTCAGAGGAAAAGGGGGTCAGGAGACTGACATCTGCTTAGCGCCCACTCTGTACCAGGCCCCATACAGGCACATACTTGGCATTACTTATTAAATGATCACCAAAGGGCAGTATCCTGGCCCCCAGTTTATAGGTGCAAACACGGGCTCTGGGTGAGCAAGACACTTGTAAAAAGTTACCTGGCTCGTGAGGGGTGGAGGTGGGTTAAAGCCCAGCTCTGCAGGGCGCCAGAGTCCAAGACCTGGTCCCTTATGTCACACCTTACAGATGGAAGCATACAGATGGGGATGGAACACCCAGGGGTTATCCCTGTAGCTCGAGCATTTAATTGCCTTGCCACTCTGCTCCCGCAGGGTGGGAAGGACTGACAGCATGCTGAAAGGAAGGGCCTCACCATGAGGTCTGTGAGATGGGACAGGCCAGGCCCTCTGCTGTGGGACTTTGTTCTCAGCCTGTGGGATGGTATGTTCCCCGGACATTAAACACACACACCAGAGGCTAAACCCTCAGTATAGAATAACCAAGTCAGCCATTCCCCCCTCAGGGAGGTCAATTAAGTGAAAGCTGAGAGCAAAATGAGCCATCACAGCCCCCCACGTCTCCCCAGGCCAGAACTTTCCAATGTTCTGATCACATGACATAAGAACATAGACTGTGGTGGGTGCCTGGGTGGCTCAGTCAGTTAAGCGTCTGCATTCGGCTCGGGTCATGGTCCCAGGGTCCTGGGATTGAGTCCCATGTTGGGCTTTCTGCTTCTTCTTCTCCCTCTGCTTGCCACTCCACCTGCTTGTGCTCTGTGTGTGTGTGTGTCAAATAAATAAATAAAATCTTTAAAAAAAAAAAAGGAAAAAAAAAAAAAAGAACATAGGCTCTGGCGTCAGACAGACCTGGGTGCAAATCATCACTCTGCCACTGACTGGCTGTGTGACCTGGGGCAAGTTCCTCAACCTCTCTGGGTCTCAGTTCCCACCTCTGTGAAATGGGAATGCTCATCTCTGGAAAGGCTGTGAAGAACAGAGGTAATCCACGGAAAACACAGAGTAGGGTTCTGGGCAGGCACTCAGTAACTACTTGTTGTACGGATGTGTGGATGGAAGAGAGCTGCTGCTGTTTTTTGGTTTTTTTTTTTTAAAGATTTTATTTATTTGACAGAGAGAGACACAGCGAGAGAGGGAACACAAGCAGAGGGAGTGGGAGAGGGAGAAGCAGGCTTCCCGCCGAGCAGAGAGCCCGATGCGGGGCTTGATCCCAGGACCCTGGGATCATGATCTGAGCCGAAGGCAGACGCTAACGACTGAGCCACCCAGGCGCCCCGCTGCTGCTGTTTTTGAGGGTGCCCTAACTAATCCTGTGTCCCCACCCCATGCCAGTGCCCAGCCTTACTGGGGCCTCAGATACCATCAGGGACCCTGGATCTCAAGGAACAGACTCAACCCACAGCTCTTTTCCCCCAAATGAGCAATGCTGGGGGTGGCAAGAGTCGTGGCTGTGGAGAGGGACATGGATTCAGAACCTTCCTCACTGCCCCCCAGCTGTGTGGCCTCGGGCTTGTCACTTCCTATCTGTATACTCTCCCTGACCCACAAACACACGGGGCCCTGATCCACACTGCGGTGCCGTGCTCGTGGCAGGCGAGCCAGACTTGTATTTACCTATTCTGATGATATCCTGGGGGCTGCTCTCTTGTGCTTCGTCTGCCAGGGGGTCGTCTTCCTCCTGTGTTAGAATTGTGGGATGTACCTTGTCTCTCGGAGGCCCCACTGGTTCAGGGTCCGAAGCTGCCCGTGGTCTCCTCTCAACGTCCAAATCTCCGTCCTCGTCCAGCCGAGCTCCCACCCCCTCCTGGATGGTGGCGTCACTCCTGCAGCCACTCCCCAGAGGGGGTCTGGCACTGCCCGGCCCAGAGGGAGGCACTTCCTCTGTGGGGCCCATGGCATGACAGCCACCCTCAACCCCTGAGTCTGTCTGAGAGTCTCGGTTCCACAGAAGCTTGAACTGGGACAGGAAAACTGCAAGGCAAGACGAACACAAAAGGAGCATATCTCCAAGCTGTCTCCTCCTTGCAGAAAATCTGATTTCCACCGGGACAGTTTTACAGGCCGGGTGGAGACATAGTAATGCCCACAGAAAAGGCTCATTTGACTCAGTCGAGGAGCTGGGGCCATTGAGAGTGACTACCATTTGATCAGCATCTATTTTGAAGGTGCTTGGCCCCCATTATCTTAGCCCTCCCTGCCGCTATGAAGAGTGGTCCCAGCTCCACTTTACAAACGTGGAAACTGAGGCTTAGGGAAGTTAAGGGAGCCAACAAAGCCATACAGCTTTTGACATGCCAAGGCAAGACTCACACCCAGCCTGCTCAACTCCTAAACTGATGCCCTTCGCACTACACCATTCCACCTGTTAAGGGCTGGAAGACAGGACAAGGACACCAAGTGGCCTTCCCCATCCGGTGGCTAGAACGTCACTGGGACCAGTTTCAGTAAGAGTATGTGTTCCAGAGAAGTGGGCTGGAGGCGGGGGTGCAAGGGTTCAAGAGGACAGTCCTGGGCTGCAGTCCTCCATCTCCCTAGGCTACCTGACCCAGGCCAGCCACTGATCTGTTCTGGATCTCTGGTTCCTGAATTCAGGGTCCAAACTGGGACACAAGGAAAAGGGGAGTATTAATTACACCACAACAAGCTAATACAGGGTGATCAAAGCTGGGGAGGGTGGCCAGGGAGGACCTGTGTGAGGTGACATTTGGAGTCAGAGCTGGGAGGGAAGAACCTTCTGAGTCAAACAACAGCAAGAGCAAAGGCGCTGAGGGAGGAAGTGCGTGCAGTGTATGAGGGACAGAAAGGAGCAAAGAAAGGTAAGTATGAACACACAGGCAAGGGCTGGGTTGGGCTGGGCCTCACAGGCCAGGGTGAAGAGTCTGATTTTATTCTAAGAGCAAGGCGGAGCCACTGGAGGGTCTAAATCAGGGTGCTGATGTGATCTGCATTTTTAAAAGATCCCCTTGGCTGCTGTAGCATGAGGGTGTGCGGAGCAAAGCCAGGGAGCCCCGGTGGGAAGAGCTGGAGGCCCCCCTAGTGACGAAGGGAGCCAGCCTGGAGTGGGGCAATGGGAGCCTGAACCCTGACTCCCGACCAGACCATGGGCTTCCTGAGAGCAGGGCTTGGCTCATTGCCTTCTGCATTCCCAGCATCAAGTCCTGCCCACCTACCCCCAACCCTGTACAAAGTAAGTGCTTGGGAAAGCACAGGACTTCACTCAATGCAACAAGGGTACTTAAGAAGTGGTATGAGGGTAACAGTTGAACAATGCAATCTACCTAGTCTTTTACCCAAAAAGAGGAGTATGAGAAAGCAGAAAACAAAATGAGATCCACGGGGCTGGACCCCTTGGCACAAGTCCAGGACCTTACCGGGCTGCCCCATGCCATTCAGCCGCACCATGAGGTGACTGTGGTTCGGGGTGTAGAGGTGGACATCTGAGAGCACAGTGTCACTTTTGAAGGTGACCTCATCCATAGTTGGGGTGGGGGCCAGCCACCATGGCCGGGTTCCTCGTGAATCATGGGACAGCAGCACCTGGAAGGCAAGATCAAGTCCTCAGAACAGCAGGTCCCAAAGGGGAACGGTATAAACACTCCCCAGTCCGGTGGTAAACAGCTTTGCATTACCCCGGGAGAAGACGCTTCCCTTTTTAAATTCTCTTATGTTTTTCCTAAAGGAGAAAGTCTCGGAGCCTTTGCAAGGGAAAAGAATCCAGCTAGAATTGTGTTATTTTGTTTGCGGTGTGTTCATTTTCACAGGAATCTTTTATTTATGGCAAAGGATCTGAATTTCTATTTATACTGATAAAGTTTTCCTTCCCTTTTAATCTTTTCCAACTTTTTTATTGTGAAAGTTTTCAAATAGACAAGAAAGTTGAGGGCATAGCATAATAAACAGCCATATACCCGCAGCTTAGATCCAGTGATCATCAACACCTTGTCATATGGGGTCGATTGATCTGTCTACCTGGGTTTTTGCTCCCCTGAACTGCAAGTAAATTCTAGACATCACATTTTATCCCTAAATTCCTCTATAGTGTCTCTTAAGACATCTGTCACATAACCGTAAGACCGTTAGCAAATATAAGATAATTTATGATTCCTTTGTACCATTTAAAACCCCATCCCTGGGGCGCCTGGGTGGCTTAGTTGTTAAGCATCTGCCTTCGCTTGGGTCATGATCCCAGGGTCCTGGGATCGGGCCCCGCATCCCTGGGATCACGCCTCGCATTGGGCTCCCTGCTTGTGCTCCCTCTCTTGCTGTCTCTCTCTGTCAAATAAATAAATAAAATCTTAAAAAATAAAAAAAATAAAAAATAAATAAAAAATAAAACCCCATCCCTGTCCATAGCCAATTTTCTCCATTTCTCATGCAAATATCTTTTATAGCTGGTTTTCCCTAAAACAGTATTCAATCACAATTTACACTTTGCATTTAGTTATTGCCCCTTTGGGTTTTTTTTTTTATCCTAGAAGTTGACTCCAGTGGCTCAAATACCCTTTCTTGGTTTAAAACATTCTTTTTAAATTAAAAAAGTGGGGGGCGGGGGAGTAGATTCAAAGGGAAAGCAACCAAGGCAATCACTGTACAGGTGATGTACAGATGTGGGAAATTATGCAGGTGACACAGCAATAACTGGTGTGGAAAACTACGCCTGCTGCAAAGGGGTCAAAACAGGAAGGCTCCCTCTCCAACCCAATGTTCTGCCTCATCAAAAAGCATCAAACGGCAGCAACATGCATAGCCATGGGCTGGGATGCTGGGTGGAATAGGTGTAAACCCCAGTCTCCCACCTCGTATCTATGTGACCTGGGGGAAATCATTCACTTCTCTGGACCTGTTTCTTTAGCTATATTCTCACCTTGCAGGTTTCCTGGGGTGTAAAGAACTGAGCAGAGTCCGTGGCCCACAGCAGTTGTTAATTCCTTGTGTTGGGGTTGGTTTCAGGCGTTTGGCCCAAACCTGCCCATAACCCCTGGCCTCCTACAGGAGCTGTTCCTACCTGGGTAGGTGTGTGCACTAGCCGTGAGTCCTAGGCATGTCATGAAACCTCTCAGGCCTCTATTTCTTCAACTGGAAAATGGCATCATCATAACCCAGGCTGTCCTCATAGTTTGAGCACACATAACTGGAGTTCCTACATTTAAGGACTTGCCATGTGGAAGCCAAAATTGTACTTACACAAAAAAATTTTGTGAAAAAGCTGACCCCTTGTTAAATTAGTCTCCATGCTGGCTCCCCCACTTGACACTAGAAGCCAGCACAGAGCAAGTGGGTTGTAAAGTGAGGCTGTGAATCTAGTAAAATGATGCAGAATTTCATGGTGCCGGTGAAAGTGACAGAGGAGAAATGCTCCATCCTCAGGCAAAAGCCCTCAACCAATGAGGACTGGAAAAATTAGGCTGCATCCAAAAAGAGACTAAATGTCTCAAAGATAGGTGTGGTTCTCCCAGGACTGAAACATGTCCTGGGGGAAAACTGAGGACTTCTTACATATAGTTTTGGGGGAAAAAAAAATCGTCTGTGATGAAGCTATGAAAGTCAAACAAGAACCAAAGGATGCTGTTTCTTGTTATAGGACAATTTTGGTGGAAAAATTACATCCTACAGATAAGCATAATATTACCATTGCACACCAACTTTTCTTAAATATAGACAAAAACAAAACTCAAATTCTTCATTTCTAGCTCAATTTTCAGTTTTAAAATTCAAACTGCCCAGGCTTCCTAGAAATGTACCCTACAACTGAGTACCAGGAGTTGGAATCCCTTTAGAGGGCTTCTCCTAGGATCAGGTTATCTCGGAACAGAGGTCTCTTGTACCTACCTCCAGACCTGTGTGAGGATTAAATGAGACAATGATCAGTTTTAGAGTTCAGGACATAGTAAATGGTTAATAAATAACAAAAGTGAGTACTGATCATTGTAGCGTTAATAATTATTATTTGAGAGAGAGTGAGCAAGAGCACAAGTGTGGGGAGAGGCAGAGGGAGAGACTTCCCACTGAGCAGGGAGCGCAACGTGGGGCTTGATCCCAGAACCCTGGGATCTTGACCCGAGCCGAAGGCGCTTAACTGGCTGAGCCACCCAGGTACCCCAAATAATAATTATTATTGAAGAGTGTGCTGGCAGATAGAAAAAGGCAACAGTTTTTCTACTTAGGAATAGCTGACTCAGAGTCTCTGTCTGGGAATGCTGCAACTGGATGCGTTTCAGTCCCGTCTCCTCACTGGAGAAGAGGGAAAGAACACCCAGACTGCAGATGGTACCCCCCTCGCACCTCCATCACTAGGGTTTGAGCCGTGGGGGCCAGACTGACGCTCTCAGCCTTTCTCCCCTAGGGTTCCCCTCCAAAAGCAGTTTGCTGGGATCTGAGGATTGAAATACAGCCCCGCCTCCCGGGCTTTCCCTCTTTCAGGTGTCACTCTACCCACTCATTCAACAATGGGGATTTGGGCGAAGTTCTGTGACAGTTTGTGTCCAGGCGCGGGATAATGCAGGGCAGGGTATGAAGACTGGGAAGCTGGGGGGACCGCGGTCCAGGGGCGCGGGGGCGGCGCGCAGAGTTGGGAGTCAGGGGCTCCAGTGACCTCCTCCCCTCCCGGGGCTCCTCTTTCTGTCTTGCCGCCTCCCTGAACGCCTCTCAAAAGGCATTTACAGTTCGGCCTCGTCCTCCCTTCTTAATCCTGAACCGAGGGGGCTGCTTGGACCCCGGACAGAAACCCACATGACAAGGCTCTTTCTCCCACCACCATTGCTCGACAGGGGACACTGAGGCCAAGTGGGGACTAGGGCTTCAGGTCGGTGGGGGCCCGGTTTCAAGGTTAGGCTCGCTGCCAGGAGGCTCCCTGCACTCTCCCCATCCTGCCGCCTCTCCCTAGAGCTTACCTGCCGCGGGCTGCAGGATAGAGCCCGGCCGAGCCCTCTAGCCGCCGGTCTCAGGCGGCCGCCATAGTAGGCGGTCTGCGCAGGCGCGGCCACGCCCCTCGGCGCGCGTCCTCCGGCGCCGCGCCGTGGCCACGCCCACCTGCCCGAGGTGCCTTGGCGGCGGGCTCCTCGGTACCTTTCCTTAACAAGAAGCTGTGGGACCTTGGTCCCTCGTATTTTGTGCCTTTCGCCATTCACGAGGCCTGACACAGACCTGCCATGTCGGGCCATGAGGGTCCTACCGTAAGTCATGACCCAGCGGCAATCCTACTTTGGGGTCACCTCTTCCAGGAGCCTTCCTTGAGTCCCCCTTCTCCTGCTCACGTTGACCAGTGTCTGGGCTCTCCGCATCAGAGCACCTGTGGCTCTGGTTGTCAAGACATGTTTACCTGTCTCCATCACTAGGATTTTAGTGCATTGGGGGTAGAAGAAGCCCCAATGGGAGAACATATTTGCAAATGATTAGAAGAAAAGAAGAAGGGTCACATCTGCAACCCAGGCTGGACTTCTCCGAAGCCAAAAGGGGAAATAGAATAATGCTTGTAAAGCAGTTAGCATCATCCTTGGCATGCTGTGAGCACCCGAAAAATGGCAACTGTACTTATAAGTTATATACATATATATTTTTTTTGAGGAGAGGCTTTTATTTTTTAAATTTATTTTTATCTTTTTCATCATTATAAGTGTACTCTTTTTTTTTCTTCTAAGATTTTATTTATTTGACAGAGAGATAGAGCAGGAACACAAGCAGGGGGGAGTGGGAGAGGGAGAAGCAGGCTTCCCGAGGAGCAGGGAGCCCGATGTGGGGCTCGATCCCAGGACCCTGGGACCATGTCCTGAGCGGAAGGCAGATGCTTAACGACTGAGCCACCTAGGCGCCCTTATAAGTGTACTCTTTAATCCCCACCCCCCAGCACCCACCTCCCCTCTGGTAACAATCAATTTGTTCTCTATAGTTAAGAGTCTGTTGCTTGGTTTCCCTCTCTCTCTCTATTTTTCTTTTGCTCATTTATTTTGTTTCTTAAATGCTACATATGAGTGAGATCATGTGGTATTTGTCTTTTGTCTTTCTCTGGCTGACTTATTTCACTCACCATTATACTCCTGAGCTCCATCTGTGTCATTGCAAATAGCAAGATTTCATTCTTCTTTATGGCTGAATAATATTCCATTTTATATCTATACCACATCTTCTTTATCCATTCATCAGTCGATTGACACTTGGGCTGCTTCCGTATCTTGGTTATTGTAAATGATGCTGCTATAAACACAGGGGTGCATGTATCCCTTTGAATGAGTGTTCTTGTATTCCTTGGGTAAATACCCAGGAGTGACATTGCTGGATCATAGGATAGTCTATTTAATTTTTTGAGGAACCTCCATACTGTTGTCCAGAGTGGCTGCACCAGTTTGCATTCCCACCAATAGTGTACAAGGGTTCCCTTTTCTCCACATCCTCACCAATACCTGTTGTTTCTTGTGTTGTTGATTTTAGCCATTCTGACAAGTGTGAGGTGATACCTCATTGTGGTTTTGATTTGCATTTCCCTGATGCCAAGTGATGTCGAGCATTTTTTCATGTGTCTGTTGGCCATCTGTATGTCTTCTTTGGAAAAATGTCTGTTCATGTCTTCTGCCCATTTTTTACTCAGATTATTTATTTTTGAGGTGTTGAGTTGTATAAGTTGTTTATATATTTTGGATGCTAAACCCTTATCAGATAATCATTTGCAAATATGTTCTCCCATTCCATAGATTGCCTCTTAGTTTTTGTTGATTGCTTCCTTTGCTATGCAGAAACTATTTATTTTGATGTAGTTCCAATAGTTTATTTTTGCTTTTGTTTCCCTTACCTCAGGAAACATATCTAGAAAGATGTTGCTACGCCTGATGTCAAAGAAGTTACTGCCTGTGTTTTCCTCTAGGATTTTTATGATTTCAGGTCTCACATATAGGTCTTTAATCCATTTTGAATTTATATTTGTGTGGTGTAAGAAAGTGGTCCAGTTTCATTCTTTTGCATGTGGCTGACCAGTTTTCCCAACACCATTTGTTAAAGAGATTGTCTTTTTCACATTGGATATTCTTTCCTGATTTGTCAAAGATTAATGGACCTTATAAGCTATTATTGTTGCTTACAGTAGTTCATCCACGTGGTAAACACCCCCGATGTGCTGGGCACGGGGCACATGCAGACCATCTGGTCAACAGGCCTGGTGAATCTGTTCTTCATCCCTCTAAGCCCTGCAAATGTGAGCCATGAAACGGTTACTAATGTCCTAGGGCTGCTATAATAAGTCACCACAAACATGGTAGCTTAAGTCAACAAGAATTTATTCTCCCACAGTCCTGGAGGCCAGAAGTCTGAAATCGAGTGTCACCAGTGGTGTACTCTCCAAAGGCTCTAGGGAATGATCTGTATTAGTCAGTTCAGGCTGCTGGAACAAAACACCATAGACTTCGTGGCTTAAACAACAGACATTGATCTCCTCATGGTTTAGGGGGCTGGGAAGTCCAAGACCGAGGTGTCAGCATGCTTGGGGTCTGGTGAAAGCTTTCCCCTTCGGTTGCAGACAGCACCTTCTCTCGGTCATCACCTGGCCTCTGCTTTGTGTGCATACGGAGAGAGAGGGAGCAAGCTCTCTGGTGCCCCTTCTTAGAAGGACGTGAATCCTCCTCCGTGGTCAGGCTCTACCCTTATGACTTCACTGAACCTTATTTACTTCCTTAGAGGCTCTATCCTTCAAATACAGCCTCACTGGGGGCCGGGGCTTCAACATATGAATTTGGGGAGGGAAAAAAACATTCATTCCACACCGCTTCCTTGCCTCTGTCGAAGTTTCTGGTGGCTCTCAGCAGTCCTTGGCGTACAGATGCATCACTCCCAATTTCTGCCTCTGTGAATGTATGTGTCTAAATGGCCTTTTGGTAAGGGTACTAGTTACTGGATTAGGGTTCACTTAATCCAGCATGACCTCGTCTTCACCTTATTACATCTGCAAAGACCCTATATCCAAATAAGGTTATGTTCAGGTGCAGGGTCAGGACTCGAACGTATCTTTTGGGAAGACACAATTCAACCCACAATAGAAACTATCTTGGAAGGGATGCCGCCCCCCCCCCCCGCCCCCCAGTCCTCCTGGCTAAGGCTCCCAGAACAGAAACAAGCTAGCCCCCCTGTGCCCTGCTGGAATTCCTGACCCACAGAATCCATGAACATAACAAAAGAGTTATTATTTATGCCACTAAATTTTGGGGTAGTTTGCAACACCGCAGGAGCTTATCAGAATAAGGGGGAGTGAGAGCCAGCCCTTGTTTGCAGGATTCTGCAGGTGGGGGCGGGGAGAGAGGTCCCTCCTCATTCCACTGCTCAGTTATTTATAAGCCACTCTGCTGGCCCCTTCTTATTCAGGTCTTCTTTCATCCACACGACCACCCCCGAGGTTCAGAGAGATGAAGTGCCTTACCGGAAGTCACCCAGCGGAGCTGGCATGCAGACTGGTCTCCCAGATGTCCGAGCGGACGTGCTGGATGAAGCCTAAGCCAAAGGCTCTTTCCTGTATGCCTCTTCCCATGAGCGGCTCTCCCAAGGCTTGGCAGCACGAGGGTTAGGGTGCCAGCTCACACATGCTGGCGTGTATATTACCCCTGCCGCCTGGGCTAATGACAGATCATGTATGCAACAAAGGAAGGCGGACGCACTGCGAGATGTATGATAAGAAACCAGCTTGCAGGAAATTGCTGTCAGGTGATTATTAGTGGCTCGGGTATTCAGAGCAGCCCCCTTTCCAAAGGTCGTGTGTTTAACAAATGCTTGATGTGTTTTCCCAATCAGCTCTAGACAATTTTGTCCTCCCGAGGGAGCGCTCTTCCCCTCGGACTGCTGACAGCTGGGTGATTATAATTCTGCCCCCTGCCTCCCGCTAGCTTCTAACAGCACCTGCTACAAATGCACAGCAGTCGCCTGCCTCTCTGGTTTCCTGTTCCGTGTGGAGAGGCACCAAGCTGACCTTTGGGTACACCAGCGCTGGGTTCAAATCCACAGCAGGGCCACTGACTAGTCCTTTCCACTCGTTCAACACTGAATTGTGGGAACGTTTAACATACTAGGTGGTCAGGCGAGTTACTTCCCTGGAACTTAACGTTCTAATTTCTTGAGTATTGATGATCATACCCACCTTGAAGTGTCGTTTTGAGAGTGAGTAAAAGAGAACACGAGGAAGGTTTCAGGCTCGACTCTTCTGCCTCCCTGGGGGTGACCTGCCAGCCTCTGTTGCAGTTTTAAAGACTCCACTAATTTCACTAATTTTACCAAGTCACATTGTTAGATTAAAAAAATTAAACAAGGGCACCTGGGTGGCTCAGTTGGTTGAGCGACTGCCTTCGGCTCAGGTCATGATCCTGGAGTCCCGGGATCGAGTCCCGCATCGGGCTCCCTGCTCAGCGAGGATCCTGCTTCTCCCTCTGACCCTCCCCCCTCTCATGCTCTCTGTCTCTCATTCTCTCTCTCGCAAATAAATAAAATCTTAAAAAAAAAAATAAGTAAAAAAAAAAATTAAACAAGTTACAGGGCCATACAAACTGTATAAATCTTATGTATGTGAGAGAAAATGCTCACAAAATATTACATTTTCCCCCCCAGGATGTATGCAGCTTATGTGAATGCACAGAAAGAAGTCTGCAAAGATGTCTTCAAATTCAAGTAGCGGTTTCTTCTTGGGGGAAGGTAGGATGGGGACAGGTCAGGGAGGACTTTCAGCCTCGGGCTTTTGGCCTCCAGAACTCTGAGAAGGAAATCTCCATGGTTTATGGGCCACTCTGTCTTTGGTGTGTTATAGCTGCCCGAACGAGCAAGTGTACGAATCGGGGGATTTAGTGTCTTCACGAAGCTCTATCGGTGGCACCACCATTTCCTTCCAGAACATGTTCATCACCCCAGAAATAAACTCCGAGCCCACGAGCATTCATTCCCATTTGTCCTCTTTCCTGGCAGTGCCTAATCTGCTTTCTGACTATGGATTTCGCATAAATGGAATCCTACAA